AAAGCAGCAGTAGCAAAAAATCAACAACGAAACTCAAAATTGGAATACATACGAGAACATTGAAATTGAGAACAAGCAAAAAAATACCACCAAGAAGACAATACACGAATGCTGAAACAAAATACAATAAAAAAAATAACGAACTGAGAGAATTTCATGGAGAGGAACTGATTACCACAGAATTTAGCAAGTAAAAGATAATCGAGCTCGCGCGCGTCCAAACATTGCCAGCGTCGACGGCGACGACAATGAAGACGTGGAAAAATCGTAACGAAACGAATCCACGACTGTGAACTAATAAAGAGTGGGATGATTAAGCAACAACAAATCAAAAAACAGAAAAAACGGAGAATAGCAACAGCACACCAGCAGAAGAAGTGTATTCTCTAACAACATAAAAAATAAACGTGGAAGCGAATAACACAGATTATTTATGTGCAGAGTAAAAGAAATTTCCCACAGCAAATTTCTCGCCGATAGAGTTTGTTGTTTCTTGTTTCGTCTTGTTATAAATCTGAAACCGTGTAATAACAATGGCTTCTACTTTAAGTTCTCAGCGCCCAAAAGAAATCCACATGATTTGCGCGCGTGTTTCCACTCATAAACTGAACATATATATGACAGCCAAAAATGACGATGAACAAGAAACAAACGGTTTTAATTTGTTGCTACTTTTCACCCATGCCACAAACGCTAGAAATGTAATTCCGGTTGAAAATGATCCATTTGTTTCTGTCGATTTTACGATTTTTGATGCACTTATTTCTTTCTTTAATTCTCTAACGCCTCTGGCAAATTGACTTTGTTCTTGTGATGCTACCGCTTTTCAAATTGGTTTGCGGCCTCTATTTTGTTACAAAATCAAACACAAACTGGAGCAAGCATGCATTTTCTCATATACCTATTAGTTAGTTGCTACTGGTAAGATTCTTCTTCTATTATGCAGCAAACAGTTTCAATTGAAAATTATTCCACATTTCAAATGATGCACATGGGTTCAAATGAAAACTATCTCGCTTTGATTCGATGCAAAATGCTCGATATGCAAAATAATCTCTTCATTTTAAAAGTCTCTGTAAGATGAAACAAAAGTTTTAAGAATAACTACACTTTTTCACATAAATCAACCTCTCTGAAAGATTTTTCATCATTTTTCTTTTCTGCCTTCTAATCAAAAGTTGAAACGCATCAAAGCTTTTTTTCGTCCTCATGTTTTTCTTTCAGTGAAAAATGAAAAAAAATTATTGAAGAAAAAAAAAGAGAATCGAATGCCAATGGATTTTTATTCGATTTATAAACCAGGAAAATGACGCAAAGTAAATAAAAGCAGCAACCGATTATTCGCACAATAATTTATCTTCAACTTTGAAGTGAATTTCAATCTTTAGTTTGCTCGATTTGTTTTAGTTTTCTCCTAGTGTGGATTTTATAGCAAATGCTTTGGATGCATTCAGCATTATCGGGCGGTCTTTGGACTTTGGAAATGTATTATAAGTATCAAACGACTGAAAAACACGAAGTGCGATTCTGGAGCGATACGTTTGAGAATAAGTGGAAAAAAATAGGTGAAATTGGAATGAGACAACGATTGAGATTTGGTATTCATGAGGTTTTATGCAAACGTTCGTTTGTTTTACTTTCTTCTTGTGAGTAATGTCGTCTCTCTTCCTATTTTTTTTGCTGGAATGTTCGTACTCTGCATGCAAGTATTATTGATTATTGGCAAAAGCAAAATGTTTAAATTTCATGAGGCATAAACTAGAACTTCGTCTCATGTTACGAAAGCACATTGAACTTAACCCCTTTGTTTTTGTGCATTTATTTCACAAGCAAATACATCGCATTTTCCTTCCACATTCAGTTTGAATTTGATTTAGATCTCAATCGGCCAAAGATTAATTGAAATAAATTAAATTGGACTAGTTTCCACCCTTATATCGAAACCATGTGAAGCAAATGCTTGATTGAGCTTTCTCTGTCTCTCGATTTTCGTTCGCTTACTTTGGTTTATATATGTATCTATGCTTGAATGTTTATTGAATAAACTTTATTTACGAAAGCGCCGAGATTGGAGAGATGTGATAAAATGACGTTCATCCAGGCTTGAAAATGTCACTATGATTTCTTTTATGGAAAATCATAAGTTTCTTCATAATGCGAAACGCAAGTTTTAATTTTACAAACGACGCGATCTCTTAATTAGCATCTTCTCATTTATGTTCACTTCAATGGCCTTCGAATGAGTTTTAATTTATATTTTAAAGAAACGGGGAAAAAAAAGTTGGAAAACGAAAGATATTCGTTTTCAATTAAGATTTGTTACTTATCCAATGTTTTTTTTTTGTGCTTCATGAAGTTTGTAAGCTGGAAAATCATTAGCGAAAATATAAAATGCTCGAAAATGGTGACAACTTTTTTTTGTGTGCGTATGGCATTTTCGGCTTAAAGTGTAAGATATATATATATATATATTATGGCATGGTAAAATTAATTGTTGTTAGTTTGCCGTATGAAAAGTAAGATAATTGTATTCAAATACAGCAGGGACTCTTGTTGGATTTTTCGATCATTTATGAAAACTTATGAATCCAGAGATATCGCCACTTCTCAAAAATTTGGAGTCTAAATTCAAATTCCTCGCTTTGGTTGTAAGTGTAAATTGGTAAACCAATTCGAAACCGTAATCGTTTCAAGTGCAATGTCTCAGCACGTCACCGCAAAAATACAAAATAGGTCTTTTCCATGGCTAAATCAACGGTTGTTCAGACGAACTATGCCTACGTTTATGCTGAGAATCAGCGCCTTTTTGTTTCAATTTATTACACCGTAAACAACGAACTTTGCAGAAATGATGGCACAAAATTAAATCAAACTAAAAATAACGCGGTAGCTTCAGACACGCGGGAGAAATAATAAACAAAAAACAAAACCAGAACAACGTACACACACAAAAAGTTGAATAAAAGCAAATCTATTGGAATGCCTTTGTTTTGTGGTGGATGTGATGTGGCGCCGCGTACGCAACACCACAGTAATATGTGTGCGCTCTTTGCTTTACATAAATAATCAACAAATAATGTACGAAATTCGCGAACACGAGAACTGTTTACATTTTTTCCCTACATTTTTGGAAGTAAGTTCTCTTTTTCATTCGTTGTACATGTCGATTGTTGTTGCCATTTTCTGCATGAAGAGAACGAATGAGAAATAACAACAACAACAATAAAGTAGAGAATACAGCATCGAATGTGAAAGCGGATGAATAAAACAAAAAATTAATGGAATATTTAGCATCCATAGTTGTTGTATTTTTCATAAATTCTCTAAACTTCCCATGGGGATGCATCCATTGAGCCAAATGACACGTTCACACCCAGCTAAACTTTGGTTTAATGGGAACACACAGAAGATTGAAACAACAAAAATATCAACAACAGAGATAGTTACAGTTGCAAAAACAGCACAACAGCCGCGACATCAAAGACTCGACACACACACACAAATGCACTGTATGTGGCTGTGCATAAAATATCAGTCACTTGGTTGATAATAGAAAAAGTATCAATTGATTTTTATAGGCATCAACAATATCTATTTTGATGTTTGCTATACACAAACTCACGTTCGTGAATTCATATCACACCATTGATACAAAGCACATCACGACCGCAACCATTGACTGAACTGAGCAGTTATATATGCATCGATATTCATACTATTGTCAGCCCAGTGCCTGTTAAATATTTGAATTATTGCGGCACCTATGCTCAAGATACACAAAGTAGGCGGCAGAGAGAGAGAGTGAGAGAAGAGAGTGTGGCGGCACACATATTCCAATTGTGCATTCAATGACAATTAAACGAATTATGTCGATATATTGAGAATGTATGCCAAACACAATAATTGCGATAAAAACTTTTGCAAAATCTCATCGTACAACAAATATATAAACAAAAAACTCTTGACTCGTTCAATCTATAACTGTTTTGTATATATATATTTACTATTTTTGAGTCAATATTTGTTGATACCAATTCGGTAAAAAGCTTAAGTGTTGAAGCCGTATTGAAAATGAATGAATAGGGCTCTTTACAAGCAATACATATTATGTAAAAAAAATGCACCGAACGATGCACTATCTCCCGAACTATTGTCCCATTTCGAAACGCAAATAACACGATTTTTGGATCCGGCCAACCTACGGTGCCCAAGCGGAAAAGACAAAACACAAAATCGCATTGAAAACGAAACATAGCTGAAGGGGTGGATGGTGGTTATGGTGAATTGGAAAGGCGCACACATCATGCAAAATTAATTTGAAAGCACGTGAAGTGCTTGTAATGTCGCCACCACATATCGCACATCATGTTATTTTATCTGCCATATATTTAAATAGCAGTCTAAAATGGTGAAATGTGATGAGACACCGTCAAATCAAATTCACAACAAACACTCTCTCGCCCAATGCGATTGTGATGAAATACACAAAAACACTACAAAATATATGGTACACCAAAATATATAATGAAAGTGTTACAAGTGTAGTTCACGAATATAATGGTAATGCTCGCATCAGTACGGAACGACAGCAAAATGAAGAAAAATAGAAAATTAAATACATGGGAAATATTCACGGTCATTAGTGAAAACCAATAACGCAGTGAAATGGAAATCTGACGGTTACGGTGACTCGTGCAATAAATAGCCGTTGTTATTGTCATTGACGTTTTTATAATGAAAAAAAAAAGAAACCAGACTTCTATTGTAATATGTCGATGAAAAAGATTTTCGACAAAAGTATCGAATTAAAGCATCTCATAAAATGTAAAATATGTTATATCAATTTTCATTGAAAAGATATAAGATCGATGAAATTGTTTACATCGAACAAAAAAAATGAAGAAAGAAAAAGACGAACAGACATAAAGGCATACTAAATGCGGTTATACATCGTCTGTCTCATTCTATTTTGTCGAATTCAATTAAATTAAACTAATTACCTATTTCACAATGAACTCCATGAAGTAATCCAATTAGTGTTAAAATTACAGCTACAAATCTATGCTGACTAATCGATTTTCGATGATAGTGGTGCTGGTGCTGCATTTTTACTGTGCTGCTCATCATTTTTTTCATTTTTGTTTTATTTTTGCTACTCTGTGTATTGGGGTGCTTGTCACAAAATTCAGTCTTATGTCGCTAAAAAGAAATGTGCTGTGTGGCGATGTGCTTGTTGGCTACAGTTGAAGCAGTGGCGATGGCCCGTGTCTCTAAAGTCTTCGTGTCTTCTTTAATTTACTCCGTTGTGTTTATTATATTTAACTTCACTATATTTTTTTTCTTCTTCTTTCTGTTTTAAATTGACTCGTCTTGCTTTTTTTCTGCTCCTCTTTTGATTGGTCTTTCTTTTTATTTTTTGTCATTCGTTCGATATGTCAACCGATGTACAATTTGATTTGCACATTTGATCAAATTTCCGAAAACAAAAATCGTGTTCACTCTTAGTCGCGCACGTAATACATTATGCTTACACACATACACAAATAAACTCTTCGATCAATGTTGCTTACGGTTGCAGTATTTCACGTCTTTATTTTTCGTGCATCAAATTTTCACATTGAAAATGTTGTGCAAAATGTTTTGAAATGTTTCCAGGTGCATTTGAAGGAATTCTATATGTTGTTTGATGTGACGCGGCCACAAATCGAATTTTGTACATATTCTTCAACCATCACAAGGACTCAGTGGATGCTCACTTTGTTCACAAATCGCATGCAAAGTGTGTACAGTATACACAAATATCAGAAGCCGAACCGAGTACACTTCAGTTAAGTTTGCACAATTTCGCGACGACACACAATTCTGCAACACACTCAATCAACGGCATTTTATATTTGTGACATACACGTTTTCTTAGCTCGTTACCGGAAAAACACATACCCCGGGACTTTGATAGAGTGCAAGAGATGATGAGAAAGAGATAGAGATAGATTATTTAAAAAAACACACACACACACACTTTTATTTATCTAGCACTGTTTTGCACTATCCTAATTACTTGCTCTTTCTCGCTCGATATCACGTTCTCACGTCACGATGCGCGTTTCAATTTAAATGCAACAATTCAATTCCGTCTCTTCATTTCATTTGAAAGTTGTGCGTGGATGTGTGTATGTATTTTTCAATTCTATTTCTTCTTTTTTTTCTAATTCGTTAGGCTTTAAATTCACGATTTAGTCTAATCTGTTTACTCCAATTTTTGAAATATATATGCCATGCCAAATGCTCGCACATATGCAGACTCACACACACACATACACATTGTGTGTATCGACTAACCAAACTAGAGAATTGCTTTTTAAAAGTCGCTTGAGCTACACATATCACAAGATACAAATATACACACGATGCACTGCACTTCTATCCATGCTTCTTATTTCGTTCTCATGCGTTAAAGATGTGAATTTTGCCGCTGGTGTTTTTGTTCTGTGTTGTTGGTGCCCTCGTCAGTGATACATTTGCAATTTCACAATGGTCTGAAAGAAAAGAGAGGGGAACCAAATGAATTAAATGAAAGAAATGATTGTTTAGGAAAAATGATTTCATGTGATTTGTGTGTAAACCGCAACGCATTTTTTCATTAATAATTTAAAATTCACACCGAATTGTGCGTGTGTCACAGTGTTGGTGTTTGATCACCGTATGAACAATGAAAATTCTCTCTATCTTTTTTTTGAATACATTATTTCAATAAATTTGCGTTTTTGGACAATTCAAAATTGAACAACAGTAAAACGTGTGCCATTGAATGCCGAAGAAATAACAAAAATATGAACTGAAATAACACCAAATCATAGCCGCATAGATTGCAATAGCCTTTCCCACACTTTGATCAGATTTGTAATTGTTGTCGTTACCATCACCGTGTCAGTACGACGTAATTTTTTCTTCGCGCATTTGAAATGTTATGGCGAAAAAGCCCTTGAAACAAGATCAACGTGGAAATTTGACGTAAATTTAAAGAGAAACCAGAAGCTCTTTTTTTTCAAAGAAAAAAACCAATTGAAACGCAAATAAACAAACGCGAACGTAAAAATGATACAAACGAACGGGATTTTAAAATAATCTGAGAAAACGAGCATACAAAATGAAAAGAAACAAAAAATTATTTAAAAGACACCATTAAAGCCGAAATAACATCGTAAAAAGAATCGTTATGAATTCATTCGAAAGGAAATGAATGATTGTTCATAATTTTTTTGTTTTTATTTATTTTGGCCCGGCACATTTTCACTCATGATGCGCAATCCCATTCTTTGGCTCTTCTCTTCTCTCTCTTTCTCTATTAGTCACGATTTTATACGTTCGTGAAAACTGAAATATCATCTTTCTTTCTCTATTTTTAACATCAATTGAACTGACGGTGTATGTGTTTCTCCGAGATCTATCCCATCCACTCCAATGTTAATGCTGTCCCGCAAAAATTCTAATTTTAACCATTTTTCAACAAAATTTTCGAATTATATGTGCTCTCATTCCTTCGGTCGTCATCATCATCATCGAACGATATTTTATTGTATATGCAAATTTTTCAAATCTTTTTTTCTTCTTCCATCCGACTGGTAATATTTATTTTAACTTTTGCACAAGAGCAAACTATGCAGCAATATGTCTCTCACTTGGGACATCTTCCTTTTTTCTTTCTCGCCATTCAAACGAATCGGCTGCAAGGGATCGTACAGATTGCAATGATAGAGCGAGGCAAGAAAAAAAACGCATTCAACTAGTGAACTTCACTCAAATTTTTTCGAGTCAGTGCTTTTCTGTTATTACTGTTGTTGTTATGCTTTGGCCGTTACATTCAAAATCCCTATAGTGATTGATGATATTAGAAAAAGATTGCACATTCGCGTACGAAAGCGCATCAAACGGGAATGGAAAACGACTCTCTTTCTACCACTCTCGCTGTTTTGGAGATTATAAATACGGTAGAGCTGTACAGAGATATCAAATAACCTTTAATAATACGTCCAAATGGAAACAGATCGGAAGAAAAGATGCCGAAAAAAATGCGAAGCGAAAAATTGGAAAAATATTTTGAAAACAATTTGCCCGTTATGCATTCGTTTGCACAAATGGGACAGGATCGAACAACGGTGGCTATGATTGAATTTGAAATGCTTTTAAATGGCATTTCGGTTCATTTTTTTATTTCCTTTTTGCCATTCGAATGGCAATGCGCACACATATGCAACGAATTTGATAGCCGGACATTTTCAGTTGCCTTTGGTGATTGTTTTATTTTTGTTGTTGGTTGGTTGGCGTATAAAAAAAAATTGTTTCACTTTAGTGCAAAATGGCACGCAAATAGAGACAATATATCGACAGAAAATCGGCAAAAGCACACAAGGAAACTCTCACTCGTTTGCTCTCTTGAAAGCAAGAGAGCAACACACAGTGTCACATTTTTTTTTTTGATTCCGCTGTTTGTACGCGCAAAAAGTAAACGATTTGATCAGACATAGGAAATTTTACGCTAAATATTTATAGAATTGTTGGGATTATTTTGGTCGATTACAGTTGGCCGCGGCAAAAACAAGCACAAACAGATTCTATGTATTTTTCCTCTGTGTATGTCCCGGTTTAACTGTGTTGCTGGCGGCAAATTTCCTTGATGTATGGATGTACCGAATGTAAAACCACAAAACTATGTTGCGATACCCCCGAGAGGAGGACAAATCTGAGCATCCAATGTGCACGCATTTCAATTCCACTACAAAACATATGCAAGAACACAAACACAAAACGGTATGGTAATTCACATCAGGGCTCAAAAGCCCGTAATATTAAATAAAGTTACCGAAAATGAAACAAAGTAAAACGTACACACAATTACGTTGCGATTTATTTGCTACTAAATAGGGCAAATATAAAATTACTATCTATATATACACTGCACGGAGGATTGGCCGAATTAATTTTTCGATCGGTGAATAAAATTTGCGAGCACACAACACGCGATCTGCGATTCACCAAAATTTTCTTCTGTGTGGCAAATGTTTTTCTTTCTCTCGATTCAATGAAAATTCGATATATATGTTGTTTTTTTTTAAGTGCGAAGCACGCTAATCCGTGTGCGTCTTCGTCGAATCGTTATTATGATTTGAATCGGTCGTTGGTGAGTGCAGTGCAACACAGGCATTCATACACAGTATTCGTAGCAACAGCGGCGGTGGCGGTGGCGGCTGCTCTTGCCGTTTTTTTGTCTTCTTTTAATTTCGTATCCCCGACACACCGAGCAATTGTTGTTAAGAAGGTGTAGAAGCATAAGTAATATAGTTGTGTATTAGCAGTCACGGCGGCAAACAACGCGGCTTTTGAATGTGTCGTGTGTGGCTTTTGTATGTGTGTACACGTCTGTTTAAATATATTTTCATTTGTCCGTTGTTTATTTCATTTTAAAGCATATTATTTTTGCTCGATCGTGCATTTGCTGTTATTTTTCCCTATTTTTCTTGCTTTTTAGTATGTCGTTTGGTTCAGGTTGTAGATACACACTTTTGATCTCTTTCTCACTCTTTTCTCTTCTTTATTATTGTATTGAATTCGTACTGAATATTCATTTTTTTCTTTCTCTCTCTCTCGCTTCACATTTCGTTCGTTAATTTTGTTATTTTTTCACACGCATAACCGTCAACTACACACAGCCAACCCAAGTCAAGCACACATATTTGCTCGTCGCACGCAGTTAAAATTCAATTGTCTCTCACACGCGAAAAGAAGAAAAAAAACCAACAACACAGTAACAAAAACAGACCCCGCTACCTATTTGTAATAATCCAAAGGGAACGAAAGAGAAAAATTACACACATAAATATTGTCTTTTATTTTAGACACATACGTATGGCGTATATATGTGAGTGTGTTTTTCATTGCGTTTCATTGCCGTCGTCATCGTTGTAGTTGGCGTTTTGTTGTTTAGGAGATTAAAACACACGTTCAAACTATTTCTCGCATTGTAATTGTCTATGCGCGCATTTTTTTCTCTTTCTTCACCCTCATTTTCGTGAAGGTGTATGTTTCCATCTATGCTTCTGTCATCTTTCTCTCGTTGAAATTTATATTAATTTATTGTATACTGATCACATAAAACTTGACTCAAAATTAAAATTAAAAGAATACGAACAAAAAAAAAACATCATCATCATTTTCGTTTGTATCGACTTTCAGCCGGATGAGGTTGTGTGATTATGAGAGTTCAAAGACGACAGTTCACATTCATGTTTGGAAGTATATATATTTTTTCGTTAAAAACAACAAATCATCTGTCTTTTTCACTTCAAGATGACCAAAAATGCATTAAATCACACACATTTGACCCAAAAGGTTCAAACACGATTTCATTTAACGAAAGTGATAACAGAATAAAGTCATTCAGGCGATATATTTTGACATGAAATACGCAAAGTTAGTAAAATTCATCAAACACAGTTTAGTGTTTTTTTCACGTCGATCAAGAATAATAAACAAGTTCAGAATTTAGAAAGAATGTTTTTAGCCGCGAAAGACTTTTCCGTTCAAAAAGAAATCACCAGAATTTCATTTTTTCTGTTCCTTTTCTGTGAGGTAATCGAAATAGAATTAGCCCGCTAACGTCATTCGCGCACCGCTGGTTGCCTGCATACTATATTTATTTATGTGAATTTTTATTTGAAATGTTTTAACAAAATACAAAAAATTGTTGCGTTCTTTCAAACAGAAACACAAATGCACAAACGAGATGTTCTCTCTCTCTCTTCTTTCATCAAGTTTTCATAAAATGCCCGAAAAAACACATGCTCCACAGTGTGTGCGGTGACCGACCAACCCGAGTGCGCACATATATTAGAGATTAATTATTATAAAATGAGAGTGAATGGCATAAAAAAGGAACGAAGAAGAAAATATTAAAGAATAAAAAAAAATAAATAAACGATCAGGCAAAGTGTACGGATGCGTGAATGAGACATGTGTGTATGTATTTCATACACAGAAGTATATATGTGAGCAAGTGGTGTGTTTGTGCTTCGTTTATTTTGTCCGTTTTTTTTTGTGTGTGCTGAGATATAACGGCGGGTCATTCAAGCGAAGCAATATCGCGATGAGGTAAACACAAGACATATACAAACACAAGTATTTTTTTAGCACGCATTAAGTGAGAAACACCATCAGTGAATTTGGCATCGAACTGACAACGAAAATATGTTTACTCATTCTATAACAAAAAAAAAAGGGAACAACAAACGAATTTACTCGAATATGTTCAAATTTCATTTCTTCTTTTTATCGCTTCAGATAGAAGTTGTTCTTGTGATCTCATTTTCATTGATTAGTAAGCGAAGAGTGCATTTTTCGAAATCCAAAACTATTTGGCATCATATAGCTAAATAGATATATACACACACAGTGCTATAAATTGAAGTAATTGCATCTTGTGAAGCGGTCTATTTTTGTTACAAGTAGTTTTTCGTGTGTATGTCTCCAAAAAATCGCTGACGTGAAAAGTGATCAATAGTTGTCCTGTGATATTGAGAATACACAGGGAGAGTAGGAAAAGAATAAGGACGTAATTTTTTTTGGAACGAATACGAGAACATGTACAATCGTTTGTCCAATCGGATTGCAAAACCATTCAATTTTTCACTGTCGTTGACGATTAATGTCTCCACATCGGCATTTTGCAATTTTGTGTCTCTTTACATTTTCATTGGGCTGGTACATTGCTTATGATATTTGTGTTCTTGGTCATGTGTTTTGCTTGTTATTCATTTTTTCTATCTCTCACTCTGTCATGTTTCTCTTATTGCTCTCTGAATACATTCCGGAACCTATTGAAAACATCTATTTTCAACGGAAATCCGATTTGACTATGGTCTCTCTCTCTCTCCCTCTCTCTCTCTCTCTCTCTCTCTCTCTCTCAGAGTTGTCAACGGACAAGACCGAAATCGTTTTTGTCCGTCCGAAACCTAAAAAATTAAAATTCGAGTTCGTCCGAGTTCGTGTTAGTTTTTTTCGCACTGAAGTCGGACGGTCCGTCCGAGTTTCAAAAATTTTCTTACAATCGCGCTTAAAAAAAAGAAATTAAGGCGCTAAAATATTTGAAACATTGACTTCCGATGCAGCTGTCACAAACGATGAATTATTGAGATAAAATGTTGGGTTTTCCAAATCGTTCATGATTTAATGTCCTAACTTGAAATATTATGTTGGAAAATTTTTGAAACTTAAACAAGAAAGTCCGAGTTCGCTCCGATCTTGTCAAACGGTGTCCGAAGTTCGAACTAAAGTTGAACGAACCCGGACGAACTCGGACTGTTCGTGTCCGTTGACAACAGATTCTGAGTCTCAGACACACACACATAACCACCCAAATAAAACCTCTTTCATTTCACGTTCGAGCCACTCAGTCACGTTATGTTTTCCATTTCTCGATTTGTCAAGAGTGAAAAATACGAATAGTATACGATCATATAACAATCATCAAATATAACATTTTATGTTCGCAAATATTTCTCATAATTATCCGTCGTCATTGCCATGAATGCATGTCCGTTTATTCAAGTCCAATCATGTATTCGATTTATTTATAAAATGGTTTTATGATGTCATGGTAAAAGCAGATGCTACACTGATTTCAATTTAATTTACTTTAATGAACGAACAAAGAAATGTTCAATAAAATTTGTCGAAATGTGGGTGTCTTTTTGAGTGCAGTCGTATCTAAATCGGGAAGCATTTTATAATTTTTGTTATAGGCTATTTATTATATACGTGATGATGCAAGTGAGCGACGGTACAATATGTACACAAAGAACTTCCAACAAATCCATTTCATACAAATACAAACCTCCAAAACGAAATACTATTTTCATATCTCAAAGTAAATTCGAATGTATTTCATTTGGATCACCGAAAAATTCCATTGCAAATAAGAATTTTCAATTGAACTCAAATGATAAACGGGGCAAACAATTTCTGAACTTCAATGCACTTTATCATTTTGCGATTTTTTTTTGTTGGTCGTGAAGCGAAAACGAAGAGACATTCGTTTCCAATATTTTTATACACTTTCTATTTGTGTACGGTTGGTGAGAGACACGGATCGAGACATTCGATAATTTGATGAATATGCGCCGAAGGACATTTTTCGCTTCAGTTTCCGGATATACAAAATTGTATGAAATTAATTTTTTTACTTCCGTTATCCTGTTTGTCTATGAAAAAAAAATCCTTTCTATCTTTGGTTTCATATTGTTCTATCTCCATTCGTTTTTTTTTTCTCTTACGGCTTTCGGTTTTCTCACGCTTGCTCGCGTTTGTTGTCTCGCAGGATTCAAGCGACAGTGAAAAAGAAATAAAAAAATCGAGAAAAAAAATGAAATTGTCTGCGAGAGAAACAATTGTTTGGACGATGAACAAAAATGCATGAAGTCATATTTGCTTTATGGACAAAAGAATATTTGAATCGTATCGAGATAGATAGATAGAGAAAAGTCAGAAGGAAAATCGATTGCATTTGTCGTCCGCAAGCAAATATTCGTTTGTTGTAACTAATAATGAAAATAAGCCCGAAGCAAAAGAGTGTTATGCATGGCAGAGATAACGAACGGGCTTTTCACGATGGTGAGCTAGAGAGCAGTTGGCAGTTAGAGAGCAGAACTAGAAAAGAATTGCCCGGCAAAATGCTCGATTGACAAGCAAATGGAAAAATGAAAAAATAAAAAAAAAATGTGAACAAAAACGTGACGATAACAAAAGACGATGCTATTTTTAATCGGTCCAACTTTTTAACTCTCTTTTTCTACGCCAAGATAATATAACAAAAGAATATCAGCGATGCATAAACGTTAGTTAGCTTCCGTTGGATTTTTTCTTAGTTTTCGGCGATTTTTTCAGTCTTCTCGGCTGCACACAAACACAATGGAAAATATAAAAACGTAAAATGCTCACTTTTGACCAAATTTTTTTTTGCTGCACTTCTCGAGTCGCCATAAATTGACGCCAACAACAAAATTCTCAAACGAAAATATGAAAATCCATTCGATTCAATTTTTGTTGCTGAAAACGTCTGCCTAATTTCTTTTCCGCACGATAGAGAGAACTTTACGAT